CACCCCGCGCTGGACTTTGAGCCAGGCCTATGTACTTTTCTAGGAAGAGCAGCCACGCTTTCCCAAGAAGAGACAGCCGACAGGCACAGGATGCATCAAAGCTGCGGCCCTCTCTCCTCTGATGGAGGGGCCAGTGGGGGAAAACCCACATCCCCAGGTCCTTCTTCCCACCTCCTCGCAGCAAGGAGCTTCCCCTCCGCAGACGCAGGGGCTATTGCTGCCCAAGCGCTGGCTGCCGGCACCTGCAGGCTGCCGGCCCCTGCCCCCCGGTCAGAGTGTTGCCGCAGCTCCCACTCAGCCCCACCGGCTGGGGCCCCACACGTCGGCCAAGGCGCTGGCTCTCGGACAAGGATTGGCTCCAGCCCTGCTGGTGGCTTAACTGGTTTCCTTTAGAAAACCATGAGGAGACCACAAGATCCACGACACAGAATTGAGGAGGACCTCAAGAGCTCAACTCTATCTTTCTTGGTTTGCGTTACACCATCGCAAACCCGTCAGAAGGCAGGAAACCCACCATTCCCAACAGTCCATCCCTGCGTTTTCCCATCTCTCGCCCTCGAAGCACGTCTGTAGGACCCGGACCCTATCCACTGCCCAACCTCTACACATGAAGAGCCTGGTGCCACCTTCTCGTCTCTCCACTAACACCACCGCACCCTTCCCTCTCAGCAGCTCACATGCCACAGACCTCCAGCCACCCTTGTCCCCATCCTCTGGACCTGCCCTGAGTGACCCCCACGCTGGTCGACGTGCAGGACCCCGCACACACACCAGACTGTGCTGGAGGAATAAGCGCCTGAGCGGCTGACACTGTTCCTCCACACGGCTAACACCAGGGCAGGAGTCCTCGACTGGTGTCCTGCCCTCTGCAACGGTGGGATTCTGGCAGCGGGGGCTCACTGGGGCTCTCATAAACAGCTGCCTGGGGCATGGCTTCCCTTGGTCTCCACGTGCAACAAGGGCTTTTCCCACCCGTGGGGGACTGAGCCGCTGCTCGCTCTGCGCCGGAGCGGGTCAGGTGCCCTCAGAGACCACACTCAGAGGTCCACCATGTCTGTGCTGCCTCCTTCTCCTGGCCCAGGGTCTCACCGCAGCTGCTCTTGAGGTTGCTGCAGCCATAAACTTTCCTTCTGGTGCTGGTTCTGGGGCGATTTAACCCTTCTCTTTTGTCCAACCCTTGCCCCACCTTTGCCTGACCCACCACAGCCCCTCCTGGGCCTCCAGCCCTGCCGACTTGCCATGTGCCGCCGAGCCCCATGCCGAGCGTCTCACCTGTGCAGCTCCCGTGGTGAACGATGACTCTCTGGATCTCGTTGAAGTCCGCTACATATTCGGATGAGTCACCCAGGCTGGTTCCTGGGAGGTCCCTCGGAGGGGAGACGGAGCCGTAGGGGCTCTCGCAGGCTGCCTCCTCGTCCGGACTCTGGAAGCTCCCCTCCGACTGCCCCGACATCCCGTGCAGCTCAGGGTTTTCGGGGCTGTCTTCAGGAAGGAGCTCCTCCGTTTTGATCACAACCCTTATACCAGCTGCAGCAAAGAGAGATTCCCGCCCGCCATCATTCCCAGGAGCCAGGGTGAAGAAACCACTCACAACGATCCCCACCGGCTCCCCGTGGGCTGCTGAAGCCGCAGAGGGGTTTCGTTTGCTCGGCCACTCCTGCTCTGCCTTCAGCCCCTGCCCTTCAACCCTCCCTGCCACGCTCCGCAGGCACAGCGGCCTCCCTCCGCCCGGCCTGGGGGGTCAGCCCCTGCAGCTCAGCACCCCTCTGCCACCCCACATTCCCTGGCCGCAGCGCCGGCCGGCAGCTCCCTGTGGGCAGCAAATTTTTCTCTTCCCACTGGCCTTGATTTAACTTCAAGATCCTCGTGATCAAGAGCACGGGCAGGGGGTCGGAGTGACCCCATGTCCGCAGCCCAGGGCCAGAGACTCGCAGCAGAGCTGACGCCATCTCTTCTAGGACGCCTATTTATCAGCCCCTTATCTCAGGGTGCGAGTTGCTCCGGGACTCGGGGGTCCTTGGTGCCCTTGCTCCCAGCCCAGCCCTTGGAGAAACCCCTCAGCATCCCGGGTCCCTGCGGGCAGGATGGGAGCAGGCTTCCCTGTCCTGGGGGGATGCTCCAAGGATAAACCCAGGCACCATCCACACAACCAGAGAGGGTGGAGAAGGTCTTTTGGGTGGCTAGGTTTTCCCACTGGGACCCAATTCTCCTCTCCTGCCAGGCATGCCGGCTCCCTGAGGACCTGGTCTGGTTGCAGATGTTTCCCTTGCTGATGGCTCCTAGTGCCCAAGTCTCCAGGCTCCACTTGCCCTGGTTTATATGTTGAGCCACAGCTGGACATCAAATCCCTAATGAGCCAAACCTTCAAGGCTCCTCCTGATGATGTCCTTGGGCACAGCTCTCAGCTACGGCTGCTTTAGCCTCGGGGCGAGCAGCTCTTTGAACGCAACCTACGGCTCCCCTCGCGCTAAGCTGCCGTCTCACCTGCAGTGGCATCCGTTATGATCTCGCTCTCCTCCAAGTCCTGCTCATTCCTGACCCGTACTTCCTCGCCTTGCTCGATCTGAGACAAAACACCAGGTTTGGAAATTGCATAGTCTGTTGAGAGACAGAGGGGTGGAGGGAGGGATTACTGCACAGGGAATCCTAATATCAGCTTCCACCTCTCCCCAGCGCCTGGAGAGACACGTGAAGACGCTCGGGAACATCCACAGAGGGTCTGCAGGCAAAAAAGCGCAATGCTGCAGGCAGGCTGGGCTCCTCGGATGGGCAGAAAGGGTTCATGGAGGCAGTAGCTGAGGTGCCACACACAGAACTACCTTTCTGGCAAGGTTTTAGAACTTCTCAGGCAAATTCTTGGCTCTCCTGAAACCAAAAGCATTTCACCTCTGGCCCCAGCAGGGCTGGGATTTCTCCTGCAGCTGCAGTAGGAAATGCCCCAAAGGAGCAAAGCTGAGATCGCATCAGACAACTTTTTCCCTCTGCAAAAGTTTCCTCTAAAGGTGTGCGTGGGCTGGTACTTGCTGCAGACCCAGAAGGTGAAGGGAAGCCGCTCCAACAGCCACGGGGAAAGTGCTGGTTTTTTCACTGAGTAACTGTGGCTGGAAGGAGCTTCAGAGGGGCTCCAGCCCCCCTGCCCACGGGAGACCCCCACCCCGGCGGGACAGCACCTCGCCTCGAGCTAGGAACAAACCCGGGCGTTGCTGGAGGGATGCCCTTACCCAGCCTAGAAACATCCTCCAGTGTTTTTAAGTCTCCTCTTAAAACGGGACATTTGGGTCTCAAGGGGATCCAAGGGGATCTCCAAGGAGGAGTCAGAAGGTGCCCAAGCCTGCGGGCAGTCAGGAGCCCCGGGGAACCTGCCTTCACCAGGGCAAGGACACCCCGTATTTACCCAGCGAGATCAGCGACTCATAGTTCCCCTTCATCACGTTTTTGTACAGCTCCTTCTGCCACTCCTCCAGCTTCTCCCATTCCTTGTCATTGAAATACACGGACACGTCGTCAAACGTCACCGGCACCTGCAATCACAAGCAGCATGGGTTCAGGCGGCCGCCTCACCCCCCAGGAGCCCAGCGCGGTATCTCCGGCTGGCAGCCCAAGCAGCTTGCTCCCGCTCGGACACAGCCAGGCGTCAGCTACTTCACAGCCATCGACGAGTTGGTTTTTGTGTTTAAAACAGCTCCTGGAGAAGTATTTCTACAAGATTAAACGTCTCGGCCAAATGGTTGGTTCCCAGTGATGAACCCAGACTGTGATATCCCCAAATGACACCCACCTCCTCCTCTCAGTCCCCGCACCAGCAGGGACAACTCTGCAGAGGAGACTGGGCTTGCACCCGCCTGGAGGGAGCATGAAGGAGATAAAAATCGGGCGCTAGGGCTGGACCTCATCTCCATTGATGAGCTGACATAAAAACACAGATTCAATTACCCCAGAACTTGAGGGAAAACTCTACCTGGGCCTGAAGGGCTCCCAGTGATCGTCAGTTATTGTGTGCAAATTGGCTGGGAGCAGACTGCAGCTTTCAAGCCTGTTTGTTGAGTAATAATTTCTAAGGATAAATTCAGGATGCGCGAGCGGGCTCTGTTTGGCTTTGGGTTCTGTTTGGCTTCTGCTCCCTGACTGTGCTAACGGGGTGTTGGGGCATGAACCCCCCTCTTCCAGAATCCCTCCGCTCTCTCCAGCGAAGCGGCGCCGTTCATTTTGCTGCGTCCCCCACAGTCCCATCCGCAAACTTTCTTTTAGCGAGAGGGTCGTGAAACGTGAACAGGAACTGAATATTGTCAGTGGGCTCCTTCTGATGCTCGGCCAAGCTCAACCGCGAGCGCCGGGAGCTCATCTGCCTTCCCCCGAATCCCAGAGGTTCCCCCTTCCCCGCAGCAGCAGCTCCTGCTTGCTCCTTCCTCGGCCTGGGAGACCCCCACCGCAGCGCCAAGGTGGTCAAAGAAATGGGGGTTAAAAAAAAAAAACCACACAACAACCAAATCTGCAGCGTTTCTCTCAAACAGTGGTAAAAAAAAAAAAAAAAAAAGAGTAAATCGCTCCCGGGCTGCGCAGCGTGGTGAAGCAGAACTGAAACCTCTGGCCTGAGTATGAGGGGTCGTTCCCCTCGGGTCCATCTCCCACCACACGTGGGTCCCAGCGAGGGAGACTCCGGGAAGCTGCGAGGGGCAGCTC